TTCATTGTGTTACTGTGAGAATTCCTGCACAGGAGCAGAGAAAAGATCTTCATATTAAAAGCTCACAGACGATGGTAGATTGAAATGGGGTATATATGGAGGCAGAACAACTGGGAGATTCTTTTAGTCATTCAGGTGAGAATTTACGAGAGGCTGAATTAAGGCATTGACTCAGTGAGGGTGGGAGGGTGGTAAAGATGTTGAGATAATGACTTTGTTATAACTAGACTTACTTGGTTGGGTCTTTCTTTTTTAGTGTTCTAATCTCAGTGCTTAGCACAGTGTTTGACACATAGTAGGCCATCGGTAAATATTATGGGGGCATGAATTTTTAATCTACTCAGAAAGATGAGAGAAGGAAGAGGTTTCTAGTCTGGATAAATCAATAGATGGTATTGTTATCAAACTGAGAGAGAAGATCAGCCAGGAAGAGGAATGAAGAGTTAGTTCAACTTAGTATTTAAGATTTGAAGGGCTTTTAAGCTATTTGAGTGTAGGCCTATGAGTCTAGAGTCCCAGAAGAAGAGTTGGCATGGAAAGGTAGATTTGTGAATCATCAACCAACTGTGGGGTAGATGACATTGTCCAAGGAGAGTGTAAGTGAAGAGAAAAAGAGAAGCCTAGAGACTTTGGGGAACATTAGCATGTAGGGGCTGGCAAAGGATGGGGAGAATGAGGAAGCATATTCAAGGAGCTTGAAGGAAAACCAAGAGAGAGACGTGTGCCCTAAGCTAAGGGAGTTTAGTTTCATGAACATCAGGGATGTCTGATGCCAGGAGGTCCCCCAAGAAGTGAGTGGCCACCAGAATATTACCTCTGGGACAGCAGGGATTTTTGTCTGTTTTGATCACTGTGTTGGGACACTCTGTGTCCCCAGCACTTAGAACAGCCTGGCACATAGTAAGCACTCAGTAAATAACTGTTGAATGAATGAAGAATGAATTGAAAAGGGTCCCTTGAATGTAGTTGTAGAACCACAGGACCTTGGTGAAGGCACTTGCAGAGGAGTGGAGGAAAAGGAAGCCATGTTATAGTGGACTAAGGAGTAGATATCCTTATCTACTAAGGTTGGCCAACTCCATGAGCACCTGTGTCTGGGCACTGACTAAGCCCTTTACATGCACTGACTCATTTAATCTTCCCAACAGCCCAGTAAGGTAGTTACCAATCACGATCCCCATTTTTTGGATTAAGAAACTGCAGCACAGAGGGAAAATAACTTGCCCAGGGTCCCACAGCTAGAAAGTGTTGGAACTAAGATTTGAACCCAGGTCTGTATGGCTTTGAAGTTCAGCACCTAACTGCTTAGGCTGCATTTTCTCTGGAGTTTCTTTGGGACCAGAAGGCAGAAGAAAGAGTCTGTTGGAGATGACATGGAGTTGAAACCAGGAAGACTTGCAAATATTTGAATGCTGATGGGAAAGGATCAGAAGAAAGAAATAATTGGAAGAGTTGGGGGAAAAGGGAAATCATTTAGACAAAAGGAGACTGAGGAGAGATCCAGAGCACAGGTGAAAGGAAACCCCTTCCACCAGGATAGGAGGCAAAGATAAAGACCAGGCGTGTGTTGCAGGTGTTTTTGTCAGGGAGGAGAGGGGAAGTAGAGATGGATGGGAGTACTCTTTTGATTGTCTACTGAGAGTAAGGGTGGGGGTGATCGAGTTACAGACTTGAAGAAAGTGGCTCAAATTTGAAATAGCTGTTGCAGAGAATAGAAGAAAGCAATGGTGGAGACGGGAGATGTTCAGGGCAGCAGCATCAAGGGCCCAGCCAAGATGAGAGACCATGATTTTACAGCAGCCCAATCCTGCTGTTACATGATTTTTCTCTCTTCCTTCCAGTAGGATGCAGTAGCCAGGGTCGGTGCACAGAAGGCAGGTGTTAATTGATCCACTGGATGCAGCAGAAGAAAAGGACAGGTTGCTGAGAGCCCTGGCTAGGTTGTGTTTGAAGTGATGGATCAGCACACCTAGGCCAGCAGGGGGGGAAGTGAAGATGGGAGAGAACTGAGAGCAGAAGAGTAATAGAAGGGTCATAGCACTGGCATCTGGAGGAAGTTCAACAGCAGGACTGTGGTAGAAAAAGGGTCTCAGGGGTTCCACGTCCAGAGCTGACCTGTCTGTGTAGGCTAAATGATGCTGAAAGGGGAGAGGTGCCAAAGGTAACTAGCTTTTTTGTTGTAAACACTTCTGTACTGTTTGAATGTTTTCCCCTCCCTAAATTTAGAAGGTGCAAACTTTTCAGTAAACCAGAGGAAAAGAGCAGGTGTACATGAAAGCAGGGGAATGGGGAAGCAATAGAGATAGGAAGTAATGGTCATGGACCGGGACCTTGGAGCATACTATCTGTGTGTGGAGTCACCAAGTATTTCCTCTTTGGAGGAGTAGCCGGAATGTGGTCCTATCTTGCCATTGTTTGCAGGGGAGAAAATAGGAGCCCTGAGACTCGCTCAGCTTAGCAGCAGCAGAACCAGAACCAATCTTTCCTGATTTCCCAACTCAGTGCTCTGTTTGCCATGCTTCTTCCTGAGCACTTGAGGCTTCAGAATTTCCTGTTGTGCCAGCCAGGCTCATTGTGAGTGTGCCATGCCATGCTTCCTACACCTCAGTTCTTCCCAGTGCAGAGCATGTGGGTGTGTGTGGAGGAAGCTGCCCTGTCCCTTGCCTATTTCCTGCTTGCTTCAGGGTAGCAACTTGGAGGCAGAAAACCACAATGATGATACGCTATTTACATCCTTTTAAATGACCCAGTGCCCCTCCTGTTTTGCCGGTTCTCACATTGCCGCCTCCCCCAGACCTTCCCCCTCATGGCTCGTTTAAATAGCAGCCATGACTCTACCTCCTTTATCAGCCCAAACCCAAATGAGTCACTGAGAACGCTTTGGACAGGGATTCTTCACCATAAGATTAGAGGCAGGGGGTGGAGGGATGAGCCCTTAGTTAGGGCCATTGTTCTAGGGGAAACAGTCCTTTCATTTTTATTTTCATCAGATCTTGTAAGGAGTCTACAACCCTCCCCCCGAAAAGACTCTGGTTTTAGAGGACGGAGTGCAGGTGTGTTTTAGGAAAAAAAAAATATTAGCAACAACAGAAGTTAGAGTTTGTTTTTTTTTATGTTCCAGGCAAATAGTTCAGAAAAACCTGGTGTTTGTGCAGCCTCTAAATGTCATTAGGACAGTGACTGTGGCAGTTGCACATGGATAGTTGTGATTTCTCCTCAATTTCGTAGGCTGAGGTCCAGGGAATTAACGGTAAAGCTCAGGACTTTGCCCTCTTTTGGATGGCCGCCTGGGTAGTATGCAGATGAGCTCTCCACATATTGGTACTGGGGATCTGTGATGTATGGGATTGGAGTGGGGGCAAGGTAGCAAGGGATGAGGGCATAGTTTAAGGAAGAATATTCTTTTATAGTTTTCTTCGCTCCTACCTCTCAGTTAAGTCCTCCTTGGTTTTGGGGGTTTGTAGAGATGGCCTGTCTGCTTGGGGGAGCTCGGGAGGGCCCTACAGATTCTGCTTTGAGGGTAGTCTCTGCCCTGACAGTCTGTTTGTTCTCTGTTGTTGGAGATGAGTTTTCAGGGTTTAGAATGGAGTTGTGAGTTGGCCTGGCCCAGAGTAGCCTCAAATTCCCTTCTCCCTGCAGGATTTAGGTAGGTATTAGGGTGGGATGCAGGTTATTTACAAGGAGGGGAAAGAATGCATTTTGTTCTTGATGACAGAAAGAGGCGCCTTATTGGCCTGCTTCTTGGCAAGCCCAAGAGCTGAGATGCGGCCGTGTGGTAGTGCTCAGGAAGTTTGAGCAGGCTTTCTGGAAATGGCTCAAGGCTCTTGGGTTACTTTTGTCCTAGAGATGGATAACATTTGGGATCCAGTTTGGTTCTGAATCCTCTCTCCCTGCCTTTTCCCAGGCCATCCTATCCCTGACTTTGTGGTTCCATAGGAAGTCATGGTTGTTGTGGTGCCAGTGTGGATGCATGTGGTTCCAGAAAAGAATAGAAAGAAGGAGTTCATTGAGGTCAGGCTTGGGGCAGTACAATCAGAACCACCTTGAAGGTCACAAAGAAGAACCATTAGGTGGATGGGAAGGGATGGTGCATTAGTATTTTGGCTTTGGCTCTGTATTTTTGGGGGTGGGGTGGGGTACATCTGAAGAACTATGCTAGTTGTTGGCTCATACTCGGTGGCTTTCCACTGTTGGGCAGAAGACTGCCTCAGACAGAGAGTCTGTTTGGGAAGAGGGAAGGAAGCAGGATGGGCTGGTAACCATGTACCTTTGCTGGGGCACCGGCTCAATGATCTCAGGCCTCCTTTGCGTAGGAGCTCCTCTGGTCATCTGCTTCATCTGCTTGCATCAGCTCCTGGGCTTTTACAAAGCTGGAAACCTTATTTACCTGGAGCCCTCCAGAACAGTGCTCCTTCAAGCAAGAGTCTGCAGTGAGAGGAGAGGTACACACACCGGAATGTAAAACTATTCCCTTCATCAAAAAAATGTGTAATGAAAAATGTTAGGACTAAACAGTGTGTTTATTCTGACATAATTGATTTACATTCTGGCATTGTATAAGCTTCCTATCTCTATCAGTACCTTTCCTTTCAACCAGTATTGCAGTTTGCAAGTCAGCAGCGAATCTGCAGACCACGCTTTGAGTAGAAATGCCCTTAAGCTGCCTCTAATTTAGAAGCAGCTGTTGAGGTATTGGAATCATGCTTACTGTACCAAACTAGAAGTATAGAGCCCTGGTTACAAAGAACTGCTGCTAGATCATTGATACATGGGTCAGGGCAGTTTACTGGGGAGAGAGGGCAACACAACCAAAATGGGAAAGTTGAGCAGGTGATGAGGCAGTGCCTGTGCCAAGGGTAAATGCCCTCTCCTCCCTTGCCTTTTCCCACACGCATGCGAGCAGAAGGGACTAGAGCTTAGGGACCTTCCTGCGGCACCTTGGTTTTGCCTGTCGCTTCTGGTGGCAGGTTAGCCACACTGAGTTTACCCTGTCCTTTCAGGAAAACAGCATGCACCGGAGAAGAATTCATTGGTTATCCTTGTGGTCACTCCTGGATGTAACCAGCTTCCTTCTTTGGAGTCGGTGGAAAACTGTAAGTACCACCCTGTTCCCTGTTGTAGGGAGCAAGCACTTTTCTGGGGCTGTAACTCTGGTTGGTCTGACCTAAGTTCCTGATGCTAGGCCTACAGCCCTCCAGGACTGTGGAGACCCCGGGTCATCAAGGGCTGAGAGCCATAGAAGGTGAATTTTTCATATGCACTCTAACCAGTGTCTGAAGGTTGGCTGTGGAACATCACAGTGGCTTTTCACGGAGTCCCACAGGACACTTGCCTTCTGGACTGTGTATAATTCTGTTGCCATTTTAGGAGTTTGTACCCTTTGCTGATTTTCTTTAAGAGACCCCACTCCGGGGAGAGAAGGAGTTTTTGGTCATAATGTTTTTGGACATAATGACTGAATAAAGTCAAGTCATTAGCCCTGTGATGCCTCCTGTCCTCCCTAAGCAGCAGTATCTGGGAACTTCTCAGTCTCCAAAATGAACATTCAAGTCTTGGCTTCCTCCTCACATTCTTGGATGAAGTAGCTATATGAACCCTGGAGACAAAGGGAAAGGAGGGTGATTACAAAGGCTTTGGGAACACCATAACCTGGACACGCCCTCCAAGCATCCCCGTCCGCCTCATACTTTCAGCTAAGGGCTGGCAGGAACTCATGTTTCTGGAGGGGTAGACTGAACCACAAGGCAGGTGGTACTTTTCTTCTCTAGCCTGGCCCTCGTGCATTATCTTCTGGGGCCCACAGAGCCTCTGGGAGACCACCCTCCCACTCTGACCCAAGCCTAGCTGACGTGCAGCTGCTCTGCTCTGGGGATGTCTCCTCTTTGAAAGGAAAAAAAAATGTGATCTTACTGTTGTTTTTTAATCCAAGGATTTACACAGGGCATGTGATCTGTAATCTGAGAGTAGAAGTCCTTAACCAATGGAGTCATTCCTGTCGTTTCAGACACCCTGACCATAAATGATGATCATTGTTTCCTCCTCTCTGAGACTGTCTGGGGAGCTCTCCGAGGTAACATGGGGACTGATGCTGGGAGAGAAAGAGAGGGATGAAGTGGGAAGGTTGGCATTGGTGGGTTGGGAGCACAAGGCTGGGGGCCCAGCACGTACCCTCAGTGTAGGAAGGTTTCTTCATGGAGACCGATTGGAGTGTTTCCCCATCTCCCTGAAGGGCGTGTTCACCTTACAGCTGTCTCTAGAAGTTGGCAGGTGTCAGCCCGTGCAATGGTGGCAGCAGCTGTCCTGGGCAGGTGCTCTGCGGAAGCAGTGAGAGACCCTGCAGGCTGATGCTCCGGGTGCCAGCAGGGAACAGGCTGCTTGGGACTCTGCCACAAACACTGCCTGTTCAGCTCTCACTAAACACATGTAATTGGAAAGGTTCTTTAAAAAGGAAAACTTGATCACAAGAAATAGATAAATGTCAAAAAGAAGTAAATAGTATAAGTCACGTAGAACTATAGTATTTCAGGAGAAAATTGGAACTTTACTAGCTAACATGTGATGGGCCTCTGCCCTTCCTCTTGCTTTACTGAAAAGGTATTTGGTCCTTAGATATAGACTTAGCCAAATACCGCTCCTACTTTTGCAAAGCCCCTGCTGGTGAATGAGGAGGGAAATTGTCACAGAATTTCAGACCTTGTTTTGGTTCGTCTTTGTTCCCTTACCGCCCCTCTCCTCCTCTCCTGCGTTTTGGAGAAACAGGGAGCTGACTCCCTTCTCTGCTCTCTCTATACCTTTTGTGCAGGCGCTATGATTAGTCGGGTTGGGGCAGTGGGAAGTCTGGGACCCCAGAAATCTGGGTGTCAGAATCAAAATGAAAAGAAGCCAAAACAATGTCAGAGCAGAGTGCCTCGAAGTAGGTGCCAAGTGACCGCTAAGACCTCAGATTCTTTCATGCGGAAATTTTGGGACTCTGGAAATCCTTCTGGGTTTTCAGAAGAGGGGCTCCAGCTGTCGAGAACATAGAACACTCTGGACTCAGCCTGCCTGCCCTCGGGCCTTGCTAGAATCTAGGAGTTTGTGTCTGGGGCAGTCCTTCTGGGGCCGTTGCTGCCTGCCATATCTCAGCTCTCTCTAGCTAGTTCCCTTCTCAAGAGGAAAGGTAGATGATTCTTGGTCTTCGTGGTCCAGCTGTGGACCCAAGCTCCTTGGAAACTTCAGCTTATGACTACTTTTTCACAATTCAGTCTTGGATAATAGAAGGGGCAGTAGATTGAGGACCCCTTTTTCTCAGCTCAGCTCCTGATCAGTATTAATTTGGAAAGCCTTAACCCATGTGAGCTGGCTTGTCCCCGTATCTGTACTCATAAGCAGACATCTTGGCCTCTCTTAATACTCCTGTGAGTTCAAGGCTTAGGAAATATGGATAAGAGGTATGTGGATTTTGAGGGTTAGTATGTTCCTAGGAGAGGCACTAAAGTCCCTTACACTGCCCAAAATAAAATGCGGAGTAAAAACAGATACTGGCTTCCTAGTATCCCCTTTGCATCCGTGTTGAGACTCATCAAGCCCATAGTATATCCACTTTTACCATGTGCCCAGGCATTCTCCTCTGTCACGTTGGGAACCTTCCAAATGGGTGCATCTGTTTTCCCACATCCCTAAGCCTTTACTCTGTCTCTCTACTTCCGCATAGGTCTGGAGACTTTTAGCCAGCTTGTTTGGAGATCTCCTGAGGGCACGGTGAGTGCGGGCCCTCCGAAAGGGTTCCTTTTATACCTCTGGGGATTTGCTCCGAATGTTGAGAATCCTGGGAATAACTTACTTTGTCTTAGACAGAGTCCTGGTGGCTCAGGATGGCCCCAACAAGAGTTAGAAGGAGACATGAGTGGAAACCAGTTTGGTAGATTTGGCCTGTTTGTAATCACTGTAATTTAGTTCCCCTGCGTCATTATTTAGTAATGACCTTGAGACCACACTGCTTTGAAGAAAATAAACAGATTAGCAGTGAAAATCCAGAATGTGTAGGCTGAGTAGTGTGTGGGACAGTTATATCTGGCTAGCATGGGACCGGTACCCTCTGACAGGTGCCTGCTTGTGGTCGCCAAAGTTGAGATGTGGGGCATTTGGGGAGATAGTTGCTCTGCAGAACAGTCATAGATTGGCTTTTGAAGGATCAGGAGACTTTTCCTCATTCCCCTCCACCCCCATGGTGAGTTCCCTCTGAATCTTGATATGTTCAATGTTTGGTCTGCACAGTTCTTTATCAACAAGACTGAGATTGAAGACTTTCCCCGCTTCTCTCACCGGGGCTTGTTGTTGGATACGTCTCGCCATTACCTGCCACTGACTAGCATCCTGGACACTCTGGTACCCAGGCCTTAAGGCCATCTTTGCCCTTAGTGTTTGGGGTGATGGGGCAAGGGGTAGACCAGTTGCCATATTTCTAAAGAGTTGGAGAGGGAATGTATGTAACTTCATGAGCTCCTAGGGAAAATGGAAAAGATGACCCGCTCTAAGACAAAAAAGGAGTGATTTAAATCTACCCCATTGGCTGCTCTGGCTCAATGTCCAGGTTATCTCCAGGAATACAGAAGGTGGTTTGGGGAATTGGCTTCTTTGATCAAGCCGAGCTTATTTTAGCTTAGTTACGGACAAGGTCATAGGAAAGAGATGTTCAAAAGCCGTAGCTCAGGATGTTCCTAACTATCTTAAGTTTGCTGGGCAGTCTTATCTTACAGTTGCTGATCCAACTCATGTGTCTACCTTTTCCTTTGCTCCTCTTCTGGAACCAAAGGAGGGGACACATCCATCAGTCTTGGCTTCTGAGATTTATGGATTACGGGGCTACTAAATTCAACAATAGACTTCACGGTTTGGATAAATGTTAGACAACCCAGAACAAATGGCAGGAAGACATATTAGTCTTCAGGGCATGGTGGTGCTTTTGGAAAACGAGGGTACCACATAGTTGCAGCTGTCCTCTCAGTGTGGCTAAAAAAGAGGAGGTAATGCCTCTGTCAGATGTCTTTGGATGTGCCCTGGGAGAAGAAGAAATGTGCTAGGTCTTCCTTCCCTCTATGGTAAGGCATTCCCTGATGGGAAGATTTGATAGATAGACCCTATAAACACTGATCAGGAAGCTGGTGCAGATTGAGCCTGGTGGGTATGTGGAGCAGCCTACCAGTCTGCCTGCCTTACCAAGTTTGAGGCTGAAACTGGAGAAGCTCTGATGGGTTCACAGTGTGTGCTCTGATCTACAGGACGTCATGGCATACAATAAATTCAATGTGTTCCACTGGCATCTGGTCGATGACTCTTCTTTCCCATATGACAGCTTCACTTTTCCAGAGCTTACCAGAAAGGTATGTCTTAATTTCTCCAAGAGCAAGTTTGTGGGCTGATGTCTGAGCCAGGCTGTGGCCCTGCTGGCAAGGACACTGGCTCTCATCCTCACCAGCCAGTTTGAGGGACACACTGACTTAGGGGAAGGGCACTGGATTTGGACCAGGAGACCTAAGTTTGAGTCCAAACTTTGCCATTAATTTTCTCTGACAGATAATCTCTCCTGGTCTCATTTTCTTTTTGTTTGTTTATATTCTGCTACCTGCCTACCTTGTTGTCTCACTGGCATTATGACACTCAGGTAAAGCAATAGATGTGCTAGCTTATGGGAAATTATGATAAAGATCCTTGGAGATGGTCCCTGATACCAAAGAGCTGTGGGTAGATTTCCTGATATGCAGTGAGTCCTGGAGGCATTTTGAGTATCTTCTACTCTGCTAGCCTTCGGGTAATGACATTGTTAAGGGTGTCTTGTGCCTTTCAGGGGTCCTACAATCCTGCCACCCATATCTACACGGCACAGGATGTGAGGAAGGTGATTGAATATGCACGACTTCGGGGTATCCGTGTGTTGGTAGAGTTTGACACTCCTGGCCACACTCTGTCCTGGGGACCAGGTAAGAATAAAGTCAGATAGAAAGAGTCTACTGATCCCCCTCGGTGGGGCTTCAGGGCATTGACTCTTGGATGTGGCATGCCCCGGCCTTGGTCCCTGGAAGAATGTTTTCCATCAGCTCCTTCCACCTGGGACTTGAGGTAGGCAGAACTTACTTTGGACAAAGGAGGCCACTGCTTACTATTAAACTATGGGCAGATTCTTCTCAGATGTTCTTGTCTTAATGATGCTCTTGCAAGTTGTGCCCTAGAGTGGAAGAAAGGTCTTGCCAGTTTGGCTGGATCAGGCATTCTCTCTCTACTGCCTAAAGGCAGTATGAGGAGAGCAGCCTTTGGGAACAAAGGTGAGCCCTGCTGTGTGTCAAGGCAAGGGGATGTGTGTTGGTAGCTCTCTGGGAGTAACCCATCTCTGACTGTCTATGATTGTGGATATACTTATTTCTTTGTGACTAAAAGCTCATGATCGCCACAGTCTGTGAGTGCCTGATGGTCCCTACCTATGTACGGGTAATGTTTATGAACATGATTATCTTACTTTGTGCAGCTTAATGTCCTTAAGTATATGACAGTGTGGGGGTCTATGTATTTGTGACACTTGTGTGGGATTCTCTGTCGGCTTAGGTGTCCCTGGATTATTGACTCCTTGCTACTCTGGGTCTCATCCCTCTGGCACCTTTGGACCAGTGAATCCCATTCTCAACAGTACTTATGAATTCATGAGCACATTTTTTCTGGAGGTCAGCTCTGTCTTCCCGGATTTTTATCTTCACCTTGGAGGAGATGAGGTTGATTTCACCTGCTGGTATGATCCCTTTGATCTTCCCATCCCTGCCTGATGAATTGGTCACTCAGAATAGAGGTTAGGTTCTAAGAGGCTACCTACCTTAGGTGCTCCTCAGGGGCTAACCTCTGAGAACAATCTGTCTCTGTCCAGATGGCTCAGCCTTGGGCCTTTCCTCTCTCCACCTACATCAAGGCCCTCCCTGATTTTGGCAAGGCTGTGAATGTGAAACTGTCCCTTTTTCCTGTCATATCCTTGATGTACTTAGGGAAGAACCAGGTCTGGGAACAGAATTGTCTTGGGAAAGTCCAGGATAGAGAAAAATAATCCCTGCCTTTGTAAAATAGTCTGGTTGAAGGGTCAAGACACAGATGAATTTGACACTAATGTATGAAAGTGTCTATTCAGTATTAAAGTGTAAGGTCCAAACCCTCAGATCCACTTTGCTCAAAAGAGGTTGATGGGCTTCTCTGAGAAGTGGACATTAGAGCTGGATCTGGGTGAAATAGGCTTTTCCGAAAAGTGGAGGTGGGGGAAAACATTCCAGGAAGAAATGGGAGCAAAATGCAAATGTTCTTGGGGGAGGGAGCCACAGCAGGTAACAGCAACACTTACATCCAGCTGGAATAAAGAATAAATGAGAAGAGCAGAATATGCCTGAGTGTGGGGGGTTAAACACGGAAGCCAGAATCCAGTGTGCCAGAGCCCCAGACCAAGACCTCAGAGCCACATGCTATAGACCAGACAGGTTAATACGTGTTCTTGTTGAGAGTTTAAATTGAAAGCTCTTGGGGTCGAAACTCCTCCTTGCTCAGCCTATGTCAGTGGCCCCCCCTCACACAGCTTTGTTCAGCCACGCCTGCCATATTTGGGGCCTCTGAGATCCGAAGTTGACTGGTTTTTCAAGTGAAAAAAGAAGTTGTGGAAGCCAGGTGACTAATCCCCAAGCTTTGGGCTTTGAGGATGTTGAAAGAATTAATCTTCATTTTCTCTTGGGATTCAGGAAGTCCAACCCAGATATCCAGGCCTTTATGAAGAAGCAAGGCTTTGGTAATGACTTCAAGGAGCTGGAGTCTTTCTACATACAGACGTGAGGAAGGAAAGAGGGTGGGCAGGGTTTCTTGGGGTTGCCTCCTGTGCAGTCCTCCCTTTCCATACCAGGGCCAGGCCCTGCTTGACCACTCTCTGGGCCCTTGAAGGGGTACTTTGTCCTATCTTTTCAACTTTGGGGTAGTCAGTTCCCAACTGGGGAAGACACTGCTCAATCAGGAATGAGCCCCTAGGCAGCCTCAACCCCTTGAGCACTGGCACCAACAGCCTAGAACCTATTTGAGCTGAGCAGACCCTTTCTTTACTCTCCAGGCTGCTGAACATCGTCTCTGCCTATGGCAAGGGCTATGTGGTGTGGCAGGAGGTGTTTGATAATAAAGTAAAGGTGAGCCAGGGGCAGAGAGAGAAGGAGCCACCTACAGTGCTTCCCTCTGGTCTCTCAGCCCTTATCTGCCTCTGCACAGACTGGTCCTCCCTGGGTTTGGATTAGGCTTTAATATTCAGAGCACCGAGGGGCCATCTCTCCTTTCCCCTCCAGAAAGGTCACAGAGGTCTAAGCCCTGGGTGTGTGTCAGAACATCTGTCACTCTTCCCTCACCACAAACTGATCAAGAGTTATTTCTGCTGCCACGTTACTTAGGATTCCTGAGACTGGCATGCTGGGTTGGCTTTTCCTTTCTGAGTCATAGACTAGGGTCTTCCAGGTTTGGGAGCAGGACTCCTTTCTCCTTCGGTGTTCATTAGTTAGGTCCCAGCCTCTTGCCAAATGCAGGGGCTCTGCAGGAACCTTGTCTCATCCTCAGAAACATCTGGAGATTCTTGGACATGGTAGCTCTTGATGAGTCTCCTGGGCCCCACTGCTCGTCTGCCTTAGCTCACAGCCAGTATTACTGTCTCGTTCCCGACAAGGAGGCTGCAGAAGGACTGGGGGTGGAAGCAGCAGGGAGGACTCCTAGGTCCTATAGAGTCCTTGGCCTCTGTTCTGTGCCAGGTGCCCAGGGGTTAGGAGTCACAGAGAAATGGTTAGCTGCTTGAGAGCAGAGTGGGCACATATCCCTTGGCCTGGGTTGCTTGCATAAGCATGTGGGCCAGAAATCTCAGCTATGTGCCATCAATTTTCTGACAGGTTCGGCCAGATACAATCATTCAGGTATGGCGGGAAGAGGCGCCCGTACGTTATATGAAGGAAATGGAGCTGATCACCGGAGCTGGCTTCCGCGCCCTGCTCTCTGCCCCCTGGTACCTGAATCATATAACTTATGGCCCTGACTGGAGAGAGATCTACATGGTGGAGCCCCTGGAATTCAAAGGTGAAAGCAGGGAGCTCTCCTTGCTGACCAGAGGAGGCTGGGCTGGTGCACAGAGCGGGAGACAGGAGGGTCTGGGCTAGACCTTTCAGGTGAGATGAGATACGAGCTGTCTGGAGAGGGGCCTACATTAGGAAGGTGGTTGGGGGGAAACCTTAGGGTTACCCCCCCACCCCCGCCGGCAGCGGCCTGTTGGTCCTTGTTTCCCCTTAGGTAGCCCTCAGCAGAAGGCTCTCGTGATTGGTGGAGAGGCCTGCATGTGGGGGGAGTACGTGGACAGCACCAATCTGGCCCCCAGACTCTGGTAAGGGTTTCCTGAGGATGTGGGTGGTTGAGCTTGTGGGCACGGGTTCTTCCTTACAGACTTGCTCCTGTCTAGTCACCCCCAGACAAGTACCCTCCTTCCAGGCCTAAGAGAGAAGGAGCTGTACATTTTGAGAGCGCCTGCTGCTACTGTCAATAACAGTTCATGATCCCTTTACAACTTACTCTGGTTCCATATCTCTGGGAGAGGATGGGAGTGGGGTCACGATCCACCTCTTAATGAAGATGGAGCTGAGCCCTAGAAGTCCCCAGGAGCCCCCCAGCCAGGTTGTCGCTCTAAATGACCTTGGCCCTGAGTGCAGGGTGCCTAAATAAGAGGCAGCAGCCTGTGAGTGTCCGGCTCCCTTGAAGGGAGCCAACCTGGTGCATGACCCTTCCCTCTAGGCCCAGGGCAGGGGCTGTTGCTGAGAGGCTGTGGAGCAACAAGTTGGTGACTAACTTGGACTTTGCCTTTAAACGTTTGACACAATTCCGCTGTGAGCTCCTAAGGTAAGCAAGCAGGCCGTGTTGGGGCCTTCCCACAGTGGGTGGGCAGATTGAGGACTTACAGGAAAAACAATAGCGAATGCTTACAGAGGCTTACCTTGTGGCAAGCACTGTGCTGAGCCCTTTATGGGCATTATTTCATTGAATCTTAACCATAACTCTGGAAGGTAGGCAGTTTTATCCTCCCTTTAGAGATAGGCAGCTGAGGCACAGAGAAGTTAATGTAAAGCCCCAAATCACTCAGAACCAGAAATTGATCCAAGCCAACTTCAAGGTCTATGCTCTTAGCCATGGCCATGCCTTTATGGGCTCTCATGGCACCTGTGCCGCTGTTGGGGATGGGCCTGCATAAGATGGTCATTTCCCTGATTTATTCATTGACTAAGTCTTGAGGACCTGGAGGACTCAGCCTAGTGCAGAGCTGAGAGCCAGCCGTGGCAAGGTCTAGGCCTCAACTGTGTGTAATTCACTGGGCGACTTTGAGCTAGTTCCTTACCATCTCTACGCACATTGCTCGTTTGAATAATAAAGAAGGCATGCCCAGGGGTCCCCTGTAGAGACTGGTCACATCCTAGAACTTGTGAGGCTAAACAGGATTTCATGTCCACACCCTGTGCGTGAACAGGTCAGCACATTGGTCCCCCCACCGCCACTGCATTTATAGCATTTGAGCCATTATAGGGGGGCTCGGTGGGGCCAAGAGCACTAGGCACTCCTTAGGCATCAGCTCTTTTCTAAAGGTACTGCATTATTTGGGACTCGGGTACAGAGACAGGCAGGTTAGAAATAGGTGTCCCCCCAAATTTCTGGATGTCCCTGTGTCAGAATCACCTGGGGCGCCTGTTCAAAATGCAGATTCTTGCCAACACGTGAGCCCAGGCCAAATAAGAATCTCTGGAAATGAGATCCCTGAGTAATTCTGGTGTACAGTGGCCGTTCAAGATGCACTGAGATAGGGGAAGGGGAGACTGTTGGTTGTGGTACAGGTGTTGCGGGGTCCTTGGACTGACCGCTGTCTGAGTGGCTCATCTTGCCCTGTTTCTTCATGTCCTCTTGCAGGCGAGGTGTCCAGGCCCAGCCCCTCAGTGTAGGCTACTGTGAACAGGAGTTTGAACAAACCTGAGCAAGCAGCCCCAGGCACTGAGGAGGGTGCTGGCCCTAGGAGATTGGGAGTGGGGCCAGGCTTCCACTGCATCCCGGCCGGGGGATGGAGCCCCTTGCCCACGTGCCCCTGTGCACAGAGAGAAGGGGGCCAGTGTTGGCACTAGCATCCAATAAAGAGTGATGTGGCATTTTTCCATAACGAACATGGATTACCTGTGTAAGAGAAATGTGACCGGCCCTGGGGTAGGGAGCTGCCTGCACTGGCCTTCTGCTCCCGAGAGGGACAGGGCGCAGCAGCCCAGCCAGGCTGGGATCAGTGTCGGCCCCTGGAGGAATCTCATAAGTTGACAGCTGGAAATGAAACCCTGTGCAGCCTCTGAGCTGTGTGATGCCTCTCTCACCCCCGACACTTAGTCTAACCACATACCCCCATGCTCAGTCTGCTCACTTCCCTTCCCTCCAAGTGCAGAGGTCACTTAGGCCTCCAAGTCTTCTGTGTATGGAAGAAGGCATTATAGTAGCCCCAGGAAGTTCTGGAGAGTGGCAAGGGCTCCAGACCCAACCTAGTTACAGAGCAGCCCTCCCCCATGCATACTCACACACTTCCTTCCCCTAGAGCTTTTCTTCTGCTTTGGGTTTCTTGTTAGTTCAGTTTTGTACAACCGTTATTTTAATAATATTGAACATACATTGTGGTCTTGACACTGTGGTAGGTGTTGCATTTGAAGGATTTGGTCCCAAGAGGCCCTGGTCCATTCCCCAATATGCCAGCAACTTCGACCCACCTCCTCCCATCCATTTGCGGCCCAATAGCATCTTCTCAAAGACTTGATGACTCAGCTGAAGCCATGAGGGGACAGCCCCTGAGGGCCGGGAGGTGGGCAAGTGGCTCTGGTAGAGGGTCTTTGCACATGTGACCCGCTTAGCCTAGGAAGAAATGGCTCACTGTTGGGCTAGACTGCCCCTTGGTGGTTTCATGTTCAGAACCAATGATGCAGGGGCGCCCGGGTGGCTCAGTCGTTAAGCGTCTGCCTTCGGCTCAGGTCATGATCCCAGGGTCCTGGGATCGAGCCCCGCATCGGGCTCCCTGCTCCGTGCCCAGGGTCCTGGGATCGAGCCCCGCATCGGGCTCCCTGCTCCGCGGGAAGCCTGCTTCTCCCTCTCCCACTCCCCCTGCTTGTGTTCCCTCTCTCGCTGTGTCTCTTTCTGTCAAATAAATAAATAAAATCTTTAAAAAAAAAAAAAAAAAAGCAGCAGCAGCAGCAGTGTTGCAGTCCAGAGGCTGGGGCAGCAGTAGACAGCAGCTGTTTTAGATGAGGATCTCTTTGACAATTATTTAATTCTTTTACCTGGTCCTCGGTTGCAAGGGCAATGGAGAAGTCTGAGACGTTTCTTTCAGAAGGTTTCTAGTCTGGTGGACACAGAAACTTGGGAAAGACAGGCTGAGAAGGGGTCTGAGTAGAATTTGGTCCCTAAACGACATCTTTCAGTCCCTTTATCATGCTCCCGTGGGGACCTGGTTGGAGGTACACCAGCCCTGCCTTCTTGTGCTGTTTTTACAGGGACAGGGTGGGCATCTTCTGTCTGCAGAATCCTCTTGGGGACAGGGTCTCCATACAGCCCAGATTAGCCAAGCCCAGGGCTCTGGCCTAGAGAGATACAAGCTAAGCCTCTACCATCTGCACTACCAAAGGAGCCCTCTTACCTGGGACCCTGAAATGCTCACTTTAAGTGCCCCTGCTTCCTTCCTGATCATAACTAATTGTTACTCTTTGAGATAATGTTAAGTAAAAAGATCAGACACTTAGGTTGTCTCAGTCAAGTCAATGAAGGAAGAGGCCATGAAAACACTGTCGCAGCAGTACATTTCTATGATTTCTTATTCCTATTACAAACATTTTCTATAATGTTGTTATTTTTACAATTAAAAAAAATTCATGAGGCCCAGTCAAGACTTTCACTTGTGGGATGTGCTGTTCCCCAACCTCCACCATTGCTCCCTTGGGCCCACTGATCATGAGCACGTTGACCTGAAGATCCTCATCAGACCTGCAGCTGCTGAGGGGTCAGAGGCAGTGCCTGCAGCCTCTGCCCAGTCTGTTCTAGTGCACAGAATCACTGCTTCTCCATCTCCTTCTTTTTCACTTGGGCTGTGCATTTAGTGCCCCACCCTGACAGGGCCCGCCGCCTCCAGCCTGCTCATGTTCCTTTTGCACCACCAGGGGGCGAGGAAGTGCCCAGACTGATTTCCTGACTTCATCTTAGTGCAGAGTCTGTGCTGCTCTCTTAGGAATCTTAGTAAGGACGCAAAGCAGGCCTAATGGGGGTACAAGTAAAGGAGTGAATGGAGGCTGGAAGGACATGCAGCGTCCCCTCTCCTTGGTAGGAGTTGAACTCAAGTGCCAGATAGCCCGCGCCCTTGGAATCTAGGTGCGCCTCAGTACATTAGCATAGGGATGGGAAAGCAGAGGACCTGACAGCACAGGGGAATAGCAAGGGGGTTCAGAAAGCCGAATGATAATGGGAAAGGGTGAAAAGGGGTTCTGTGGATATAGACTGACTTATTTTATACTGATGTACATATACACACATGGTGGCAACATTGCTGCATTCGAAAGTTTAGGTTTTTATAGTTTTGTCAACATCACTTGTAAGATTAATCAGTACAGGCCATGACAATTGTGTTTCATATACTTTTTTTTCCCCACTAAGAAAGAAAATAAGTAGGAATTGGGTACTTTGTTAAAATCATTCTGTATTTTTTCTTATAAATAAATAAACTCTGAAAATTTGAAAATTAGTATCCTTTTATTCCAACTGTTAATAAATATATACATAAATACACATTAGCCAATTTCAGTGAAATGTTTACTTGTTGAATTTTTTCATTACTATTCACTCTGTATATAAATCTTTACAGTCCTCACAGTTGTTTTTAAAAATCCTTTTTGCAAAAAAAAAAAAAAATCCTTTTTGCAGCAGTCCGTGTGTGTGTTTTCTTGCATTTTTCAAAGAGATTTTTAAAGTGAAAAAATCTGTGAGTCTTGCTTATTTTCACAATAATTACTGTACTCTAACCACATCCATGTTATGTCTTCTCTACCACAGTAACTACTTACATTTTTTCATGATTTCAAATGTTTCAAACAAATGGAAAAGTGTAGAGAATAAAATAATAAACACAGTATAACCACCACCCAAATTTACCACATCTCAGTAGTTATATTTGCTTCAGATTTTTTTAAAAGAGATGAGATGTTATATATGTCCCCTTTCCCAGTCCCTTCCCGAAATAACCGCTTTCTAAAATTTATTTTAAATCTCATTTTCTTTGGATTATCTGATACTTAGCTGTGATTTTTCTTAATAATTTTTAATAGCTCACTTTATACCAAATTAGGGATATTTTAGAAGGCACCCCCAAAAGAGGAGACAGAGTGTGTGTGTGTGCGTGCGTGTGTGTGTGTATGTACCAGCCGGCAGGCAGACACAGGCTGAGAAGAGGGACGTCTCTGCCTGTGCTGGGGTGCTGCTGAATGTAAGAGAAAGCATGTTGGAGTTATCTGGATAATCTATTATAAAAGAGAAGATATTGAACATAGGAATTTTGAGAGAACTATGTGGATGTTTAGACTCACATAAATCAGAAATTTGAATGAAGATGCTTGTGAAGATCCATTTAGGGGAACAGTGCTTCTTCATTTCTATGAGCTTTCTGTGTCAGGCACTGTTATAAGTACTTTATTGGATATTAACTTCCTAACCAGTGAGTTAGGTATCAATATTATCCTCACTTTTTATTTTATTTTTTATTAGCTTCAGACAGATAAGGAAACAGACACAGAAAGATTAAATGGTTACACAGTTAAGCTGAGTCAGGATTTGTACTTAGGCAATATGGATCGAAGCTCACCTGGTTATTTCTACCTTACACTGCACCCAGCCATTAGCCACTACCCCACACCGCACTCTTCTGCTCTTGGACACTACACTCAGGCACATGGATAAAGCTGAGTACTCAGCTATACCTGAGCTCAAGTCCATTTCCTCTTGCCTTGCTCTTCAAACCTTTTCCTTATGAATGGTTCCTTTCTCTCTGCACACAAACAGGCATAATATGTCAGTTTTCTGCTTTTAATTTTTCAAAATCGCCCCCTTGTCCAATTCACTTAAGGTATGCTAGTTTTCCCCTTCAAAATGGGGTGTCTCTTGAGCTCTCCCATCATTTCCTGACATTCTACCTGTGTTAGGACTCCTTGAGTTGCAAGGAAACAAACTGGTTTAAGCAAAAAACCATAACATTGCCTCATGTAATTGCATATGTCATGTAACAGGAGTCAACAATTCTATGATCCTAGGAATATAATAAAAAATATAGAGAAAATTATTAAATTTCTGAAAGACACAAGAAGACCCAAATGTAGAAAGGTAACATGTTCATGAGAAGACTCAACATTGTAAGGATTTAAATATGATCTGTAGATTCCATGTGATTCAAATTAAAATCCAAATTTTAGTTTTTATGCTACATTGGTCTAACAGATAACAGTTTGTTCAAAATAATAATGTATTTGGTTATTATAGCTTATAAGTGAGATAAATGACAGTAATGTTATCAAAGATGGGAGGGAAGAATTGGAAATACTCTGTTATAAGGCTCTTGTACTACTTGCGAAGAAGTATAGTGTTATTTAAAAGTGGGTTTGGATTAGTTGTAAATGTATTTCACAAGAACTAGGGCAACCACTAAAAAAATTAAGAAAGTGTAACTGATGGGCTAATAAAGGAGAGAAAATATAATCATAAAATGCCCAATTAAAACCATAAAAGGCAGGAAAATAGAATACCAAAAATAGAAACAATGAAGAAGGGCAACAAATGGAAAACAGTAACAAATATGTTAGATAGTAATCTAACTTTTCCAATAATCAGTTTAAGTATGAATGGTCTAAATACACCAGTTAAGGGCGCCTGGGTGGCTCAGTCAGTTAAGCAACTGCCTTTGGGTCAGGTCATGATCCCAGGGTCCTGGGATTGAGCCCCACAGCGGGCTCCCTCTCAACGGGGAGCCTACTTCTCCCTCTCCCTCTGCCCCTCCCCCAACTTGTCCGCTTTCTCGCTCACTCTCAAAATCTTTTTAAAAAAAATTTAAAAATAAATACACCAGTTAAAAGACAGAAATTGCCAGAGACGATTAAAAAAAATAAGACCCAACTACA